CCCCCCCTCCTTTCTCATGGGGGAGGGTGAGCCAGAAGTGAGCCTGGGGCCTTTGCAGCTCCAGAGGACTCTCTCACTGCAAGTCCTTGCCTGTGCTGGCTCTTTCCCTCCCCCACTACACTTGGCTAGGCAGGGCTGCGTACCACCTGCCACTCATTAATGTACCACAAGTGGTACGCGTACCACCGGTTGAAAAGCCCTGGGCTAAGACACTGGCAGGCAGACGCCAAGTCCAAGTGGCGTTTGGCAGCAGCCCCATACCAGGGTAGCAAATTATTCGGGGATGCCTTAGCCCCGTTTCTGACTGAAAATAAGGATAAAAAGAAGATTCTGGCCCACCTTACCAAACGGTCCGATAGGCGGACTAATCCTTATAACCGTAGACAGTTCTTTCGATCTGCCCCTACTCCTTCGACTACGCAACCTTCACGACCCTTCACTCCCAGACAAGACCGTCCAGTCGATAGACCGGCCTCAAGACCCAGGCAACAGTTTCAGTCCAAACGGCCCTTTCGAGGCGGGGGACGTCCCTTCCGCAGGAAGTGACTCCCGAGTGGATCCTCCCATAGGGGGCAGGCTGTCCCTATTTGTCACTCAGTGGGAGGTCACCACCACAGACGCCTGGGTCCTGGACACCATTCGACACGGTCTATCCCTGGAATTCACTTCCAGTTCACCAAGACGGTTCATTTCTTGCCCCCAATCAAAAAACTCACTAAGGAAAGGTCTCATGCAGGAGGCCATCCGTCACTTATTAGACATAAGGGCCATAGAACCGGTACCTCCGGCTCAACAGGGTCACAGATTTTACTCCATTCTCTTTGTGGTCCCCAAGACCTCGGGAGGATGGAGAGCAATCTTAGACCTTAAAGGCCTGAACTTTTATCTGGCATACCGAAGGTTCAAAATGCAAACACTTCAGTCCATCTTAGGCAGCATCCAAAAGGGGGACTTTCTAACATCCGTAGACCTCACAGAGGCATACTTACACATCCCTATCATTCCTGGCCACTGCCAGTTTCTCAGGTTCAGTTACATGGGGCATCATTATCAATACAGGGCACTCCTGTTCGGGCTGTCGTCAGCCCCAAGGGTGTTTTCCAAGGTCCTGGCGGTCCTAGCCGCACACCTGAGGTTGATGCCGATTCGGGTGCAATGTTACCTGGACGACATCTTAATACAGTCGTCTTCTCCCCGGGGGGCTCAGTCAGACCTGAGACTGGTGATCGAGGTCCTGCAGAGTCACAGCTTTTCAGTCAACTTCAAGAAAAGTCAGACGGTCCCATCGACCAGATTGCTCCACTTAGGAGCCATAATAGACACAATAGAATGTCGGGTTTATCTGTCCCAGGAACGCAGGGACAGCGTACGGGACCTGGTTCTCAAGGTCTGCAGGGACAGGACTCTGTCGCCCTCCGGTCTCTCCCGGCTTCTGGGAAAGATGATATCGTGCATCTCGATCGTTCCCTGGGCCAGGTTACACTCACGGACTCTCCAGTGGTTTCTGCTTCCCTACCAGAAGCAGGGTACCAGCACTTCCACCCGAGAGGTAAGGATTCCACCACAAATCCTGCGCTCACTCAGATGGTGGATCTCTCCCGCCATGGCCAGAGGGTCTCTCTTCAAGGAGCCTGGTCGGCTCACGATCATGACGGACGCCAGCCTGTTCGGCTGGGGAGCACACTATCAGTCGCAGTGGGCCCAGGGACGATGGTCTCGGTCAGACCTGAGGCACAATATCAATTGGCTGGAACTCAGGGCCATACATCTAGCCCTTCGTCCCTTCCGCCACAGCATTGCGAGACAACACGTGTTAGTCCTCACGGACAACGTGGCGGCAAAGGCCCATGTGAACCGGCAGGGGGGCACCCGATCCCGTGCCCTCCTGACCGAGGCCCAGCAGCTGGGCTCCTGGGCAGAGACCAACCTTGCCTCTATCAGGGCAGACCACGTCTCAGGAGAGGCAAACAAAAGGGCAGACTTTCTGAGCAGGTCAACCGTGGACCACTCGGAATGGCGTCAGCATCCGGATCTATTCAGGGAGATCTCCCACAGATTCGGCCTCCCCATCATAGATCTGTTCGCCTCCCAGGCAAACAAACAACTCCCGCGATTCTTTTCGCGCTTCCCAACTCGGGGCAGAGAGAGTAGATGCCCTTCGGGTTCCATGGCCGGAAGGCCTCCTCTATGCCTTTCCCCCTCTTCCTCTTCTCCCAGCGGTCATCCGCAAGCTTCTGCAAGAGAGGGCAGAGGTTCTCTTGATAGCCCCTTACTGGCCGCGGAGACCTTGGTTCGCCAACCTCGTCGGTCTTTCCCTGTCGCATCCTTGGAAACTTCCTCCGGACCGGGTATCACTAACCCAGGGGGATCTGATTCACCCTATCCCGGGAGTCCTGTTCGCCAGGGGTCATTGCCATAATCCAGGCATCTCGTAGACCGGCTACCAACCACATCTACGATGCCACGTGGCAGAATTTATGCCGGTGGTGTTCCACTCACCACCTGCCTTTATCGGAATTGACCATTCCAAATATTTTGGACTACTTACTCGAGGGTCTGAATAAGGGATTAGCACCTAACACATTGCGCAGACAGGTGGCAGCCCTCTCTACATTGATTACTTGTGACACTGTTAGTTCTCTGGGCCAACATCCCTTGATCCGTTCTTTCCTCAAGGGCGCAACTAATACCAGGCCTCCTGTCATCCACAGATATCCCTCGTGGGAATTGCCTCGGGTCCATCAGGCTCTCACAAAAGCTCCTTTCGAACCCCTCAGTTCGTGCGACATGAGATCCTTATCTCTCAAGGTCGCCTTCTTGATAGCCATCACTTCGGCCCGGCGTATTTCTGAGATGGCAGCACTCTCAGTCAGGGATGATTTATGTATTTTTCACCGGGACCGTGTTAGCCTTCGCTTAGACCCCACCTTTGTCCCCAAGGTCAACTCCCTATTTCATAGGGCTCAAGATATCGTTCTCCCTGATTTCTGCCCTAATCCTTCCCATGATCTGGAACGTCAATGGCATTCCCTGGGCGTTCGCTGGGCTCTCCGTTATTATATCAAGCGGACGGCTACCTTCCGCAGCTCTGAGGCACTCTTTGTCTCGTTCCACCCTTCCTCCAAGGGTCGGAAGGTTTCGGCCTCCACGATCGGCCGATGGATAAGAGCCTGCATTGCGGGGGCGTACCAGTCCGATTCCTTGCCGGTCCCACGTCGTGTCATGGCCCACTCTACGCGTAGTGCAGCCACATCTGCGGCTTGGGCCACTCAGGCTTCCATTGAGGAGGTGTGTAGGGCAGCCACGTGGTCTTTGCCTTCGCCGTTCATACGGCATTACAAACTGGACAGGTACGCATCTGCCGAGGCCTCCTTTGGCAGGAGGGTTCTGCAACAGATGGTGACCCGTGACACGGTTCCAAACTTGCCCGCTTCCCTCCTGTAAGAACAGTGGGCTTTGGTATGTCCCATTGGTGGATTATCCATCTCCAGTGCTGGAGAAGGGGTGTTGTCTTACCTGAACGCCTTTTCTCAGCACGGAAATGGATAATCCACACCCACCCATTTAGGTCCTTAGGCCTAGGGTTAGTTTCTGTGAGCCAACACGTCATGCTGTCAGTCAGTAGCTGCGCCCTCGTCGAGACTGGGAAAACAGGCCCAGGACAAGCGTGGCAAGTTTGGCTGACTTGATCTTATTGGGCAGGAGGATTAAGTTAACCCATTGGTGGATTATCCATCTCCGTGCTGAGAAAAGGCGTTCAGGTAAGACAACGGCCCTTCTAGATAAATATAAGGATAGGAAAAATACTTGCATGCACACGCACAAAACATTGATATTTACCACTGCTATTCTACCATCAGTTACCTGTTTTGTTTTGTAGGATGCATAGGTGAAAATCACTGTCATAGTGTAGTAAGTTTTGTTGGTGTAATTCAGGTGCATATTGATTACTACTAATTTATGTGGAAGTACAAAATTTATTCGAGTATTGGGACATTTTTAAGGTAAAAGAAATTTTGAGGATATAACCTTACTTTTCTTACCTTGCAAGGTGCCTATCATGTGCCACCCAGGCCAATGCTTATTAATTCCCCTACACCTCAGTTCCATAGTGTTTGGAGTAACCAAGAAACATATATGCAGTCTCCAGCTGTGATGAGTCCTGTCACACAATATGTTCAGGTAAGGTTTCATAGAATGAAATATAAATTGCATTTAATTACATTTCAGAGAATATAAAATTGCACCACTGGCTTATGACATTCCAGTGTATTATACTGTTAAATTGGCATTCTGATATTTCAGATGCATGGAGTACAAGCCTATTAATATCTAAAAACATTTCATAAGAATATAGTATACACTATTCCCATTCTCTACTCCTACCCTGGACTATTTTGGAGATCTGTCGATGTCCTTTTCTTGTTCTTGGTGGCTGTCAGGGTCAGGATAGGATAAATAAGTTAAAGTTCATTCTGGACAAGATGGAGTTAATGTTTATTCATCATAGTTCTCTGTCATCTCCAGCATTGTCTTCTTGAAGGGGTGGTACATTTTCTTGAGCAAGCATGTCTGGGATATGGGGGGGGAGTGTCCTGGATTCATGGCTATTGCTGGGTGAAGAGATGGAAGCTGTGGCCAGGAGGGCTTTTGTCAAGTTTTGATTGGTGTCCCAATTGTGGCCCTTCCTGGAATGGAAGGTTCTGGTTACAATGACTCATGCCTTTACCACCATGCGGTTAGACTTCTGCAATCTACTCTGTGTGGGGCTACCTTTGAAGACCACTTGGAGACTACAGGTAATGCAAAGTGCAGTGGTCCACTTGTTAACTGTTGTGTCAGGCGCAATAAATCAGGAAGCAAAGCAGTTCAAATCAATACAGGTTTATTGTTTGCTAACACACACTACAAGAATCTGAACTGCTAACAGTCAAAGAAAATTGGCAGTTAGATACAGTATTACCCTGGCTTCTTGTGATTTAAACTAATTATTACATTTGAAAGTAGCAACCAACTAAGTAATTGCTAAAAACAAAAACTAAAAACAAAATGATCACCAACATAAAAGGGATTCATAAAGTTAAGGCTTACACCAAATTGTTGATGCACCAAATATAGTTTACTTTGGGTTATGAACCAGGTTCTAACGATAAGATGTTTACTAGTAGGATGTAGCTTGTCCATGACTTCTGTCTTGTAACTACACAAACATTTTCAAAACAGTTTTTCAGACTTGTTCAGGTAGAAAACTCTTCAAAAAGTAACTTTGTTTTTAAACTTACAGGCATATTCTTATGGTTCCCCAGCTTTATTAATTCAGCAACAGGTTCCTGTAGTGTTCCAGCCAACTTATACTTACCAGGTTTGTTTGAATATATTTCAATTTTAGTATCCAAAAGTGGAAGCGAAGCTTAAAATTAAGTCTCATCTAATTAAAGATACTTTAATATGGCTTGCAGGTCATGCTGGTTGATACACTGAAATGTAGGAATAAGCAAGAAGGTAGTACACATACTGGGTGGTAGTATGTGTTGATAAATATCAATTGTGTTTGCTCTGAACTGTGAGCTGTTTTGTTAGTGAACTGTGGAGCAATCCAGATTTCAGGGAGAAAAAATAATTAGAAATACACAGGCTTGTACATTGCACCTGTCAGCAATTGTGAAGACTTTCAAAATGTAAGTTAACCACCTAAAATACTTATACAGTATTGAGCAAAGTTATGCACAATTTAAAAACATAAAAGTTGGGTAACAGTAGCATACAATGTAGCTTTTAAATCTAGTTTGTGTGGTTTATTTTATTTTAATGTATGTTTTTATTACTGAGATTACTAGGGTTAGCTTTCTGGCTACCGGTTAATTTTTGGATGAAATACAAATTGTTGGTTGTCACCTTTAAAGCCCTTCATGTCTCAGGACCTTGGTATTTTAGGATCATCTACTCCTGATTGCATCTGTTCATCCAATAAGATCAGGAGGGCTCCCTTCAGGTTCCCTCTCTCAGAGGATGCGAGTCCAGAAATGCAAACATTTCAGTTGCTGTGCCCCCTTTCTCTAGAGCATCCTCCTTGAGCTCTGAGCATTCCCTCTGATATCTGTCCAGCCCCAGTGTTGCTGGGTTTTAGGAAGGCTATAAACACTTGGACTGGGGGAGGAAGGAGATATGTTATCAAGCTGAACCCTCTTGCAAGGGAGTTGGATTTGTTGTTAAGGAATTATACTGTTTCTTATCCAATAAATAATGGATGATTTTGTAGGTTTTTTCTTACATATTTAACCTTATTTAGAAAGAAAAATATGTAAACTGCTTAGAGTTGGTATAGTTCAGAGTAGGAAACAAGCCCAGCAGGCAAACAAATTTTACCATCCCTGTAAGACAAAGTTGATAGACCATCTTACTATTACATTCGTGTGTTTTGAGTTGTGTAAGCTTGGTCATTTAGGTCAGGGATCCCCAAACCTGGCAACTTTAAGAGTTGTGGACTTCAACTCCCAGAATTCCTCAGCCAGCCATGCTGGCTGGAGAATTCTGGGAGTTGAAGTCCACAAGTCTTAAAATTGCCAGGTTTGGAGATCTCTGGCTTAGGTTACCAGGTTTCTTTAAATTTGCAAGACAAACATTCTTATTTCTAAAAATTGCTACTCATAGATGCATTGTTGTATTCCTATTATTTTAACAAGCAAGTTAAATGCTATATTCTGCTAAAACCTGCTATATGCTGATAGTGTCTTTACTTGTTGGCTTTTTAAGGTTCCACCACAGTGGCCTCCTGGAGAACCAAGAAATTACATTTTGCCGGTAAGTTACACTTCTTGTATTTATTGAAGTGCAGTGGCTAATATTTACAATGATCAAAGGAGAACTGCCATCCTTATTTTTGTACTAGCTGTAAATTTGATTTTTATATTGGCACATCTGTTAGTTTTATATGAACATAATTATTCTGACCCTTCTATAAACAGTGCCTTCAAGGTGTTTTTGAAATTTAGCAGAAGCACTCAAAGAAGGGCCTCCAAAAATTATCTAAGTCTCTGGGCAAGTACACTTGGGAGGAAGAATTTCTTTAGATTTTCTGGACCAGACTCTGTAGCATTTTTAAAAAATGGTGGTAAACTTTAAGTTGTTAGGTACAAACTGGAGAGTCATTGTACCTACTAAAACATTGGCACACATTTACAATAGTGGCAAATATCTAACTCAGGTGTAGGATGAGAGTGAAGGTTCGTTCTCCAGCACAGGAGATGGAGAATCCACCAATGGATTTAGACTGTGTTCCTGCCCAATCAGATCAAGTCAGCCAAAGTTGCCACGCCTCTCCTGGGCCAGAGGATCCCAGTCTCGACTTGATCTTGCCCAGGACAGACGTGCAAGTTTGGCTCTTAGGCAGGTATAGTTTTCCATTGGTGGATTTTCCATCTTTGCCATTTATCAGTTTTTCTGAATTAGTGCTGGGCTCAGCACTGGGTCAGGATTGCTGTTTTTCTTCCAATCCCCCCCACCTCCCTTAGTTTCAAAGAGAGGCTTAGTAAAGCCCTTTCTTACGTTTCTTGCTTTTCTTACCTTTCAGTTTTGTTTTCCACACCCCCACCCCCCCTTAGCTTCCATTTCTCCTGGATCTTGGCTGAGATCAGTTCCTTTTTTTCATTCCTCTGGGGAGCCTTCCCTCTTCCCTCAGAGGCAACCATAGTCGTTTTTTCTTTTATATTTGTTTGTGTGCCTTTCCTTGCCAGAGCCTGTGGCTGCAGCTCCGGGGGGGGGGAGCTCATAATCGCACGGACAAAAGGGGGGGGGTGGAAGTTCAGCGCGCTTCAGGGAGGTCTTTCCCTGAAGCTTGTGTCAGTGAATTTGATTACAGGGACTGCGGCTGCAGTTCCGGAGTCCTCGTGGACTCAGATCTTCACTCGTGACGACCGGGGGATTGCGGCTGCATCCCCGGCGTCCTATTGTGTGCGCAGGCCCAGGAACGCAATTCAGGGCTCAGCGCGAGTCTGGGAGGCTTTTCCGGCTTCTTCAGCTGCTTTCTAGTTGCTGGAGCTGCGATCGCGACCCGGAGGTCGGGCGGCGCAAATAATTGACTTGGCTGCTGGGGGGCTTGCAACTGCATCCCCAGTCGCCGGACGAGCGCGCGCCGTTTCCCGATCGGGTTTCTCTGTGCAATCAGCTGTCTGGCGGCTCCGTGAGGCGGCAAATTATTCGGGCGGAGTAGAGCTCCATCTCCTCTAGAAGGAGGCAACAGCGCCCCCTGGTGATCGCGATCGTTACATTTCTGCCCGGTGATTCACAGACCCTATAGGGAGACGCAGCACATACAGTGTGGTTGCCTATTAGTCACTTCACACTCGCGGCCGCCATTTTGTGAACGTAAACACTATTGTCACTAGGCCCCTTTGTCTTGAGGAAGGGATTTCTCCCTCCATCCCATTCTTAATTGGGAAATAATCTCAGTAAATTTTCGCATTAAAGGGACGGCTGCCATTTTGGGAACACTAGTTCCCTCTCTCTCTCTCCTTCATCGGCCAGCCTTTATTTGGGGTCTGTACTAATCTCTTGTCCTGATCAGGATTACTAGGCCAGCAGTTCACTAATTTTGTATCACCATCTTGGAGGTCTTGAATTGGTGTCTCCTTCTCAACACACAGCATAGCTGTACACATACTCTGTTATTGTCTTCCCCTGTATAGCGGTGCTGCGGATTCCAGGTGTACCCTTTCGTGCACCTGAGTTTATCTACAGTTTAAAGATCTTTGGATTCCAGGTGTACCCTATCGTGCACCTGTGCTGTCCACAAGATTAGCAGTCCTTGGATACCAGGTGTACCCTATCGTGCACCTGTGATTATCCATAAACAACAACAGCAGTCTCTGGATTCCAGGAGTACCCCATCGTGCTCCTGTGGTTATCCACAGAATAAAAAACAGCTGTCTCTGGATACCAGGGGTACCCTATCGTGCTCCTGTGATAATCCACAAAGATGGAGGATACTGGATCTTCCAAGAGGGGAGCTTCACCGCTTTCACCAGCGTCTAAAAGGCATAAATCCTCCAATCAGGAGGCTGCAGGAAAGATCTCGGCCAAAGCCAAGGCCAAGGCCAGGTCTGCAGGAAAAACCTCAAAAAAGGATGCAAAACAGGCCAGTAGGAGACACCAGGCATTAGAGAGGGAATTCTCTAAAGCACAAAGACAGGCCAGGGCTGAAGCCACTCAAGCTGAAGCTCCTTCCTTCGATTTGCCACTGGGACCCTCTGCTTCCCCTCTGGGGATTTGGTCAACAGGGGATACCGTTTCTGTCCCTGTGCCGGGTGACACATCTCACCAGGACCCCATCTTCCAGCCTGCCACCACGCGGACCCAGCATTCGGCCTCGGAGGCCACCTTCACCCCTACTGTGGTGGGTCTTAGATCAACAGAGGTTCCCCTTCCCACAGAGGACCGCCTAACTGAGTTAATTGCACAGGCGGTAGAGCGTGCTCTTCAGGCTAGATCCCAGGTACCTAGGTCAACCACGGTTTCTCCCCTACCTATCCACCAGCCTACTACTGAGGGCTTTTGTGCACCTTCTTCACCTTCTCAGTCCTCTTACTCCGAGGGTTCATCTTCTCGTGAGTATGATATGGAACTGGGGATACAGATGTCAGATGAGGAGGAAAACCCTCCCGAAATGCCATCCTTTGCTGGCCTCTTTAATCCGTCTCATTTTGTACCCCTACTCCGGAAGGCCACTTCCACGGCCCATCTTGGACCCGAACCCTCCACATAGGCAGCTCCGGATTCGGAGGCGGATCCGAACTTCACTGAACCTGTAACCGCACAACACCGTATCCCCTGTCCGCCAATGTTTCTAAATGCAGTCAAGAAACAGTGGGATTCCCCGGGTACCCTTCCTCTCCCCAGTAGCAGCGAAAAAAGACTTTATAATGTGGCCTAGGACCTGGCAGATGCTCTGGAGGTCCCCACGGTGGATGAGCCCTTGGGGCCCCTGGTATCTCCCACTGCCGCTCCTGGCGACGTGTCTGATGCCCTCAAGGCGGAGGACCGCAAAAGTGAGCTCACTTTCCACAAGACACACCAAGCTATGGCTTGGGCTATTAGAGCAGCTACCTCAGCATCCTTTTTTAATAGGTCTGCCCTCCGCTGGCTTAGACAGCTTCAGGCCAGGATTCCGGCGGAAGATATCCGCACCCATCAGGATCTGAGTAAGATGGTGGTGGCAACGGAATATGCTTCCGATGCAACGCTACAAGCTGCCAGATTCTCGTCCAGGGCCATGGCTTCCAATGTCACCGGACGCCGTATGCTTTGGCTAAAACATTGGCATGCTGACGCCAAGTCTAAATGGCGCCTGTCAGCAGCCCCTTACCGGGGGGGGGGAAGCTGTTTGGGGAGGCCTTAGATCCTTACCTTACGGAGAATAAGGATAAACGTAAGGTCCTCCATCACCTCATTAAACGTCCGGACAAACGGCCCAACACCTACTCACGGCGACAGTCCTTTCGTACGGGAGCTAGGTCCAATTATTCCTACCCCCCCCCCCGCTCTTTTCCTGTCAGACAGGACAGACAGGACAGACAATCGGACAGACCGGGTTCTAGGCCCAGACAACAGTTTCAGGGCAAACGGCCCTTTCGTGGGAGCGGCCGCCCTTTCCGTCGCTCCAGATGACTCTCTGTTGGTCCCTCCCATAGGCGGCAGACTTTCCCTCCTTGCCCGCCAGTGGGAAGCCACCACCACAGACGCATGGGTGCTGAACACCGTTCGTCACGGGCTCTCCCTGGAATTCTTCACCTACCCTCCACATCGTTTTCTCTCTTGTCCCCAACCAAGAAATCACATAAAGCAAAAGATTAATGCAACAGGCCATTCATCACCTTGTAAACATAAGGGCCATAGAGCCGGTTCCGTTGGATCAGAGAGGTCAGGGATTCTACTCCATCCTCTTTGTCGTCCCCAAAGCCTCGGGGGGATGGAGAGCAATCCTAGATCTAAAAAGGCTAAACCGTCATCTTGTATACCGCAGGTTCAAGATGCAAACGCTCCAGTCCATTCTCGGAAGCGTATGAAGAGGAGACTTCCTGACGTCCATGGACCTCACAGAAGCTTATCTTCACATCCCCATCTCTCTCAGCCACCGCCGGTTTCTAAGATTTGCCTACAGGGGCAGGCACTATCAATACAGAGCATTACCGTTCGGCCTATCCTCGGCCCCGAGGGTTTTTACCAAGGTCCTAGCGGTCCTTGCAGCTCACCTCCGGTTGGCACCAGTCAGAGTCCAGTGTTACCTGGACGACATTCTGATTCAGTCATCGTCGGACCAAGCTGCGCTGGCGGATCTCGAACGGGTGATCAATCTTCTTCAAAGTCACGGGTTTTCGGTAAACTTTTCCAAAAGCCACTTGTCTCCCACGACAAGGCTATTACATCTAGGGCCATCATAGACACGGTGAACTGCCGGGTCTATCTATCCCAAGAACGCCGGGACAGCATACGGCAGTTAATCCTCCAACTCTGCAGGAACCGTACGGTCACGTTAGCAAGTCTCTCCCAATTACTAGGAAAGATGATTTTGGCCATTGCCATTGTGCCATGGGCCAGGCTCCACTCCAGGATCCTTCAGTGGTTCCTACTCCCCTTCCAGAGACTGAACATCAGCTCATCCACTCGGAGAGTGCGAATTCCACCCCGAGTCTCGCGCTCCCTCAGGTGGTGGCTCTCATCGGCCATGCTCCGGGGGTCCTCCTTCAGGGAGCTGGATCGGATCACACTTACGACTGACGCCAGCCTGTTCGGTTGGGGTGCGCACC